GCTGGCTGAGGAATTCTGGGAGTTGAAGTCCACAAGTCTTAAAGTTGCCAAGGTTGGACACCCCTGCCATAGGATCTCGTCTCCTTCGCCTGGCCAGCCAAAGGAGTTGAGGCAAACCCTGCATGGTGAGTGGCTGGGATGGAGGGTGTGTGCGTGTATCGGTATGGGAGGATGGGTGTAATCCTTTAGCTATGCTCCACAGCCAGGCATTATTACATTCTGTTATATTCACAGCGTAACATTCACTTCTATAATAAGCTTGGCTGTGCCTCAATGCCTCACTAGCACTTCGCCAGCAGTTTCTTTATTTCAATCCCTGTTTTTTTCTAACTTGCTAACTTTTAAGATGCACGGACTTCCACTCCCCGAATTCTTACAGTTGCCAAGTTTGGAAAAATGCCGGTTTAAGTACAGAGGTCACTACAACTGAAGGTGTGAATTAAGACGTTGTCCTGGATTACAGAGGGAGACTCACACAGTGGACTTACAATGGCAATGTCGCCCTAAACTTGCAATCAGGGACAACTATTTAAAAAGCCTCAATTTGGGGCTTTTTAAAAACTGCCAAAAATCTGGGGGGGGGGAGGTGTTCCCCCCGAATCTGGGGACATCCAATAATTCTAGGGAGCAGCACAAATGTTGCTGGTCCAAAATAAATCTCTCCTCCTGGGATGCACCAACCCATACGGCCACTAGGTGGCACCAAAGCAATTTTTCTTGGATCTCTTCCCCCCCCAGCTTTTCTATAGAAGGCAGTCCTTGACTTATAACCACAACGGAGCCCAACATTTTCTGTTGGTAAGGGAGACATTGGTGAAGTTGAGTTCTGACCCCATTTTATGGCCTTTCTTGCCACGGTTGTTAAGTGCATCAGTGTTGATAAGTTAGCAACCCGGTTATTAAATTAATCTGGCTTCCCCATTGACTATGCTTGTCAGAAGGTCGCAAAAGAGGGATCAGGTGAACAGAGGACACAGTGATGGTTATCAGTGGTGGGATTCATATATTTTTTTACTACCGGTTCTGTGGGCGTGGCTTGGTGGGCGTGGCAGGGAAAGGATGCTGCAAAATCTCCATTCCCTCCCCACCCCACTAACCTGCTTTCCAGCTCTGTTCGCCAGTGCAGGGCAACCAAAGAACTCACAGCCAATCAGCTGGGACTCAATGGGAGGCAGAGAATGGATGGGGGTTGGGCCAGTCAGAGGTGGGATTTGCCGGTCCTCCAAACCACTCAAAATTTCCGCTATTGGTTCTCCAGAACTGGTCAGAACCTGCTGAATATCACCTCTGATGGTCATGAATCCATGCCAGCTGGCAAGCAGTTGAACTTTGACCCCACGACCTTGGGGATGTTGCGGTGGTCGTAACTCTGAAAAAACGGTCACAAGTCACTTTTTTCAGTGCCGTTGCACTAAACGAACTGCTGTAAGTCGAGGATTACGCTGGTACATCCTGGTTGCCCAACGCCCAAACTTAGATCCTGTAACCATAGGGACGCTGCGACTTGTCGTAAGTGTGAGGATCGATCGTGAGCAATGCTGGGATTCCAAACCAGGGTAACAACTGGCTTGGTGAGCATGCGCTTCGCAGGGGCTGGTGGGCAAGGCCAACTCATCACCGGAACTAACCGGTTCACCTGAACTGGTCTGAACCGGCTGAATCCCACCCTTGATTGTAAGTCCATTTTTTTTCCAGTGCCGGCCAGTGGTGGGATTCAAAAGGTTTTACCACTGGTTTGATGGCCGTGGCTTGGTGGATGCGGTTTGTGCGCATGCACACAATTTGTGCGCGCGCACACCAAACGCGTACTTTGTGCAGGCGCAGAGGCGTTTCCTCACGCGCAGAGGCATTCCAACTCACACGATCCTGCAAGCCTGCACTCTCCCGGTCGCTTCAGCAGCTGCTGCGCGGCACTCTGTTGTGCCGTGCAGAGCAGCTGTGCTTCAAAAGCAGGATAGAAAGGTGAGCATGGGAGCGCAGGAGGGTGGGTGGGCCCAACAGCAGAGCCCAGGCGGAGAGAACCAGTTCAGTCTCCGCTGCTCATCGCCGCTACCGGCTTGGCAGAACCGGGCCAAACCGATAGTATACCACCACTGGTGCCAGCGTAACTTTGAACAGTCACTGAATGCACGATTGCTAAGTCGAGGAGTCCTTGTCGTGAAGGAGGGTAGCTGAAAGTTATTTTGACCAACATTAAAAAAAATTCACGACTGTACAGAGATGGACAGCCTGACCAAATGACTAAAAAACAACAAAGACAGTGAATACTACAAAGTTTGGAACTGTTGGTACGAATGGTTAAAGAAAAAGCAGCCTTTGACAACGGAATAAGTTATGAAACTACGAAGGACGTGCGTTTAATCATAAAGCATTCTGTGAAATTAAAACATTAAAAGAGCCAGGAAGGTATTGTTAACAAGGTAGATCACATCAATGTTATGGGGTAAAAGAAAAAAACAGAAAAGAAAAATGTAACCAATGCTCAATACCTGCTGCAAAAGGTATATATGTATATATATATTTGTTTATATGTTTGTTTCTTTTTAAATGTTTTAAATATATGAAACTTAAATAAACTTTACTTTAAATTTTAAAAAAATTAAAAAAAAAAAGAAAGTCATTTTGACCAAAATGACAATCGTCTACTCCTTTAAAAATAACAGAGGCCTCGAGTCCCCTCTCGGGAACGATGTTTTGGAATTCAGAAAAGCTGGCTGCCTATCCCTCATGCCAGCAGGTCACTGATGGAAGACAAACCACAGCATCAGGCATGCAATGGCATCACGTGATACTTACCGGACCAACACACACCCGTTTGTGACACACACTACACTGCGCTCCGAGGATAAGGAATCTGTCCTTGTCTGGGCTGAACGGGTCCTTCATAACGTAACAGTCTTCCAGGAGGCTGTAAAAACAAAAACAAAAAAACAACAATGATTGCAACAGAACCACACAGAGACTTCCCAGCTGCATCGTAGACTCTAAGCAAAGCAGTGGTGGGATTCAAATTGTTTCGCCACCGGTTCGGTGGGCGTGGCTTGGTGCGGGCGCACTTTGCACAGGCATGCGCGCAGAAGGTTTGCTACTGACCTTCTCCTGCAATCTTGCACTCTCCCTGTGTGTTCGACAGCCAACGCCGCGGCAATCCACTGTACCGCGCAAAGTGGCTGAGCTTCAAAAGCAGGAAATGAAGGTCACTATAGAGTCGGGGTGGGAGAGCAGGCCTAGCAACTGCCAGTTCGGGCAAACCGGGCCAAACCGTTAGAATACCATCCCTGAAGCAAAGCCTCTCGGAGCTCCGAGATCAGCAGCTTCTAATTGTAAAAATAAAAGGAGGCGGCAGATACGCCAAGAAATTCATAAATTGTCCTTTTCAGAGAACCAGCTGCCTTTTATTTTTTTATTTTTTATTTTTTGCAATGGATTTGCTCTCTGAAGACAAAAAGTTCTTGATTTCTCGGTGTATAGAGCAGTGTTTCTCAACCTTGGCAACTTGAAGAGGTGTGGACTTCAACTCCCAGAATCCCCCAGCAAGCACAGCTTGACTCTTCCTGGGGAAAACCGCTATCCACATCTGCACATGAGAAGATAGTCCAGAAAGTTAAAAAAAATATATTTGAATTTGATTTGTGTTTGTCCTTAATATTAACTAGATTGATCAGGTGGGTTTAAATCAGGAGTGGGGAAACTATGGCCCTTTTATGATCTGTGGACTTCAACTCCCAGAATTCCTGAGCCGGCAGTGCTAACCCAGACTTTGAAGAAGGAAAGGAATGGGCAAGAATGATCCAGAAAGGATGCTGCTTCTTCGCCCACTACTCTCCCCTCTGCTGCTGTCCCTCTGGGGTCTGCCCTGGCGATCATCTGTGTGGCTTCTTCATGAAACAGGTCCCAAGTGGTGAGAAATGATGGGCAGGGCCATCTACTTACGTGACTGAGTAGGCATTGGGAGGTTTATGTCCATAGTAGCTGTAGGGGGCTGTTAATCCACACAGCTCACACTCAAAGGTGTCCTTTTTCGATTCCATCCAGGCTCATTGGTTGCAGCTGAGGAGAATAGTATATAAGAGAGACGGTTAAAACACAGCGTTGCCAGAAGAAAAGCGTGTTTTATTTGGGGCTAAAGTTATCTTGGTTGGTGTCCTTCCAACAGACTGTGCCTTGTTATCTCCTGGAAGTTAGTAATTACTTATCCTGGTCCGTTGTGGAAATTCCTTCATTGTACTTTGTTTTGGTTTTTTATTTTACCTCTATCTGTTCATTAAGTTCAGACTGTACTGCTTTCTTTTGAAGACTATTTTTGAGTAAGTTTTATCTCCAACTGAGAATTATTGAACAGTGGGGCCAAGTTGGAGGCATTAAAGGACATTTATTTACGTTTTGGATTTTGTTACATTTGTGTTACACTTGGGTCATCACAAGTATATATACACTGCTCAAAAAAATAAAGGGAACACAAAAATAAGACAATCTAGATCTGAATGAATGAAATATTCTTATTAAATACTTTGTTCATTACATAGTCGAATGTGCTGACAACAAAATCACACAAAAATTATCAATGGAAATCAAATTTAGCAACCCATGGAGGTCTGGATTTGGAGTTACACTCAAAATTAAAGTGAAAAAAAACAACACTACAGGCTGATCCAACTTTGATGTAATGTCCTTAAAACAAGTCAAAATGAGGCTCAGTAGTGTGTGTGGCCTCCACGTGCCTGTATGAACTCCCTACAACGCCTGGGCATGCTCCTGATGAGGTGGCGGATGGTCTCCTGAGGGATCTCCTCCCACACCTGGACTAAAGCATCCCCCAACTCCTGGACAGTCTGTGGTGCAACGTGGTGTTGGTGGATGGAACAAGACATGATGTCCCAGATGTGCTCAATTGGATTCAGGTCTGGGAAACAGGTGGGCCAGTCCATAGCATCAATGCCTTCGTCTTGCAGGAACTGCTGACACACTCCAGCCATATGAGGTCTAGCATTGTCATGCATTAGGAGGAACCCAGGGCCAACCTCACCAGCATATGGTCTCCCAAGGGGTCTGAGGATCTCATCTCGGTACCTAATAGCAGTCAGGCTACCTCTGAAGAGCACATGGAGGGCTGTGCGGCCCCCTAAAGAAATGCCACCCCACACCATTACTGACCCACTGCCAAACCGGTCATGCTGGAGGATGTTGCAGGCAGCAGAACGTTCTCCATGGTGTCTCCAGACCCTGTCACGTCTATCACATGTGCTCAGTGTGAACCTGCTTTCATCTGTGAAGAGCACAGGGCGCCAGTGGTGAATTTGCCAATCTTGGTGTTCTCTGGCAAATGCCAAACATCCTGCATGGTGTTGGGCTGTAAGCACAACCCACACCTGTGGACGTTGGGCCCTCATACCACTCTCATGGAGTCTGTTTCTGACTGTTTGAGCAGCCATATGCACATTTGTGGCCCGCTGGAGGTCATTTTGTAGTGCTCTGGCAGTGCTCCTCCTGTCCCTCCTTGCACAAAAGCGGAGGTAGCGGTCCTGATGCTGGGTTGTTGCCCTCCTACGGTCTCCTCCATGTCTCCTGATGAACTGGCCTGTCTCCTGGTAGCGCCTCCATGCTCTGGACACTACGCTGACAGACACAGCAAACCTTCTTGCCACAGCTCGCATTGATATGCCATCCTGGATGAGCTGCACTACCTGAGCCACTTGTGTGGGGTGTAGTCTCCATCTCATGCTCCCACTAGAGTGAAAGCACCGCCATCATTCAAAAGTGACCAAACCATCAGCCAGAAAGCATAGGAACTGAGAAGTGGTCTGTGGTCACCACCTGCAGAACCACTCCTTTATTGGGGATGTCTTGCTAACTGCCTATGCTTTCCACCTGTTGTCTATTCCATTTGCACAACAGCAGGTGAAATTGATTGTCAATCAGTGTTGCTACCTAAGTGGACAGTTTGATTTCACAGAAGTGTGATTGACTTGGAGTTACATTGTGTTGTTTAAGTGTTCCCTTTATTTTTTTGAGCAGTGTATTTAAAGATAGACTGATTAAATACATGGACTGAATGGATGGTTTTTTCACGCTGTGAATGTGGTTTGGAAAGAGAAGATTTACAAAGAGCTCTTTAAAGTGACAGAGTTGTGAAGAAGTATTAAAGAAAGTAAGGAAGACATGTGGCCAGAACAGTGTCTGTGCTTAATAGAAAAAAGGCATTTTGAATGAAGGAGATTTGACTGTGAACTTATAAACAATATCAAGCACCTTCAATATTCCTAATTATTGGAGAACTATTTAAATATATAAAATATAAAATCAAGGACATGGAAAAGGGACTAATTTTAAAAGATTTGGACATTAGAATTTTTATGTAAGAAAATAAAAGGTACTGTAATTGATGGTATAAAAGATAATCTTTTTTGTGCCTCTCCAAACATTCTCAAAAAAACCCCCCTACTTCATAATGTTACAGAGGGAACCAATTATGCTCAAATACAGTTAGCAAAATAGAGAAAGAATGTAATGTAGTAATGTAAGTGCTTCTTTATGTATGCATCATCAAATCTATATATATAAAAGCGAAATACAACTCACACATCATCACAAAATCTTCAGAACCATAAAGCCTACAAACTTGAAATTAGGCACGTATGTTCCTCTCGGCTTCTAGGTGCTCACTAAGAAAGGATTTTTCGAAGACCATCAAAGCATTAGTATTTCCTGTATTATTCTTAACATGCTGTTCTGACCCAGGCATCCTTCAAATTAAGAAAACACACGCTGTGTGTAAAAGCAAATATTTTTTAATGCGACGCTGAGAATTATTTGCATTCCCAGCCAAAACTCATTAAACACAATTGTCTAAGAGCATGCCTTTCAGGGTTGTAAAAGGCTGCCAAGGAACAGACATCCACTTAATTAGAAGATAAACCGACAGAAGTTCCAGCAAAGACAAACCAGAGTCCCGCAGGGCTTCGATGTGGAATCAGAATCTAATGAATTTCTTTGCTTCCTGCAAAGAGCACATCACCGAGGGCTGGCTTTTATCCCTTATGGGAGGGCCAATCACCTCCCAGTCTTACTCCCATTGTTCATCCCAGGGAAGTGCACCACACTGTCTTTGTACAGTAGAATGCAGCAACTGCCAAGCACTTCTGAACGGTCACCCTGCTAGAAACACAGGCAGGTGCAGAACATCAGGAGTTGAGCTGAAGGCTGCACAAGTTTCACCTGGGGCTCGCTAGTCTCAGCCAGCATGACCTACTGACTTGGGGTGATCTCAAAAAGCTAAGCAGGTCTGGGTTTAGCATCTGTAGGAGAGGAACGGGTAGAGCCGTGGTGCAGAGTTAAGCATGTAATCATTTCAGTTAAGAGTCATTACATTCCCACAAACAGGTGAAGTCTAGCCCCACTTGAATTTCATTGATCTTTCTCTGGTGCCAATTTAGTATTAAAACTTTAATTGACTAGCTCACACTTGATTTCATTGAGGGCCACATAAGGGTTGTGTTTGAACTTGGGGGACCAGGGTGGGTGTGGCCAGCTCGATGTCACTCGTGTCGGAGGTGCCTGTGGTGGCCCGAGAGCTCTGCCACCAAAAATGGGCTCCCAAGCTCCGTTTTCAGCTGCAATGGCCTCCTGCAACCCTCTGCCAGCGAACACGGAGCTCGCGGCCCTCCCAAGCTCCGTTTTCGCTGGCAGAGGTACCACGGGCCAGTCTTTTGCTGTTTCCAGGGTAGCCCCGCGGGCCAGATCTACCTACACCACAGGCCGGGCTGGATCTGGCCCGAGCCTTCTGTTTGACACCCCTGGACTAGATTAATGTCAGATTCAAAAGATCAGGATCATATGTTAAACTGTAGCTCAACAAGGATTTATTGCTCAAGCCTTACACAGACAAGAATCTAGCCAACTAAAGTTCAGTGCTAAGCTGGAGCCAGATAAGGATCAACGGAATTCAAGAGGAGTTGAACTTGGACCATTTGTGGCAATGTAACAATTCTAAGCTGATGATGTGCTTAACTCCACCCACCCACCTGCCTGTTCTTCTCTATAGCATCTTGGATGGAAGATATTAAGACATCTTAAGACCAGGAATATTTTGGAAGAAGACATGACTAGCCACTGTGCTATCTGAAAGAAAACTTCCATGGACATGGCCGTGAAGTCACCAGTCACCCCATGCTACACCCGACGCCGTATCTTTGTAGAAGAGCCTGAGCAAAGATGGAACAAGCCAGGTTTGTGGTTTGAAAGCAAGCACAGTGGTGATTATAGGAGAAAGAGGGAGACAACATCTAGGGCAGTGTTTCTCAACTTTGGCAACCTGAAGATATATGGACTTCATAGCTGGCTGGGGGATTCTGGGAGTTGAAGTCCACCTACCTTCAAGCAGCCATGGTTAAGAAACACTGATCTAGGGATTAAGAGGCATAATGTATCTTATTTGTTTAATTATATTCACCTAATCTTAGCTCCAATAAAGCAGAGCCTTGAGGGGGTTCTTATATTCTTTTATTAATTCTTAAACCCGAAGGGTAGGGGAGTGACGTTTGTATTAAGGCTGACGTGTAATGGCTTGACTATGGCTCCAGGTAAATGGATAATATACAGTATGAGGTTTTAAATTTGGATTATTATTTTTTTTAGAATTCCTCTGCAGTATCACATTTCTCTCACTGATAAAGCTGGCACAAGTATTTTGTTTGGAGTTTGTTTTTTTAATACAGTGGAAAGTCCTCCAACTACATTAGCACGGTAGAACAAGATGTGTGACAGCTAACCTATGCAATCTTCTGTGGTATCTCAGGAGGCTTTTCATAAACAGCTAACCATGTTTAGTATGGAGGCTAAGGAAGTTGTATAGAGAAAATGGCTCAGTGCTGAATTCATCCAACAAAGTCAAGTGCCCTTGAAGATGATCTATATTAAGTAACTGTCCACCAGCTTGATGGCTCCTTCTCTTCTGTGTTGGGAGAAACAAAAGTCTGTGTTTTTCTAGGCGTGGAATGCTATTGCTTCACAAATCAGGTTTACAAGCATTCTTTACCCATCGGATATGTGGG